ACACGTGAAGAAACTGTGCTTGTCTTTTGGTCGTGGACTGGGTGACACAGATGTGGGTGAGACCCGTGGGGATGTGACAATGGCAGCTTTTATCTTGATGTGGATTTTGCTCTTTTCCTTCCTGGCTTGTCCAGTTGTTTGTGACCCTTTTCTGTGGGTCCCCACTGGAAGATGCTTTAGACTTGTAGCAGGCTTTGGGGCCTTGTTCTGGGCCGATCCCATATGGATGGACTTTTACCCACGAGGGGACGGGTAACTTTGGGTGCTTCATTTAGAAACTAGACTCTTTGCCTTACCTGTATTGTTTCCTAGTTTTATTAAAAATCCTTCCCATTAGTCTCATGTGTTTTGTGTTGATGCGGCGGATGGCAGAACCCATTTAAAATAGGCAGGTTTGCGGGGTTTGGGCTGCCCCTCTCCCTGTCCTATAACAACATCAACAAACAAGAAAGAACTCACAGAAACAACTTAATCTCACATCTCAAAGAACTAGAAAAAGAACAACCAAAAAACCCCAAAGCCAGCAGAAGAAAGGAAATAATAAAAATCAAAGCAGAAATAAATGAATTAGAAATTAAAAAACAATCCAAAAGATCAATGAAACCAAAAGTTGGTTCTTTGAAAAAATAAACAAAATAGACAAACCTCTAGCAAGGCTCACAAAGAAGAAATGGGAGAAAACACATATAAATAGGATTATAAATGAAAGAGGAGAAATCACAACAGACTCAGCAGAAATCAAAAGAATAATCAGAGATTACTACGAACACTTAAATGTAAACAAATTCAACAACCTAGAAGAGATGGACAAATTCTTCCTAGAACAATATAATCACCCAAAGCTGGACAAAGAAGAAATAGAACAACTAAACAGACCAATTACAAGCAGCGAAATTGAAGCAGTAATCAAAGAACTCCCCAAAAATAAAAGCCCAGGCCCAGACGGCTTCACAAATGAATTCTCCCAAACGTTCAGCAGTGAATTAGTGCCTATCCTACACAAACTCTTTCAAATAATTGAAAAAGAAGGAATACTACCAAATACGTTCTATGAAGCCAACATTATACTAATACCAAAATCCAACAAAGACTGCACAAAAAAAGAAAACTACAGGCCAATCTCCCTAATGAACACTGATGCAAAAATCCTCAACAAAATCCTTGCTAACAGCAATGCATCCATAAGATAATTCACCACGACCAAGTAGGATTTATTCCAGGGATACAAGGATGGTTCAACACCCAAAAATCAATCAACGTCATCCAACACATCAACAAAAAGAAATATAAAAGCCATATGATAATATCCATAGATGCTGAGAAAGCATTTGACAAAGTACAACACCCATTTATGATAAAGGTCCTGGAAATTCTCGGAATACAAAGAACATACCTCAACACCATAAAGGCCATCTATGACAAGCTCACAGCCAATATCATTCTCAATGGTGAAAAGCTGAAAGCATTCCCGTTAAGATCTGGAACAAGACAAGGGTGTCCACTCTCACGACTGCTTTTCAACATAATACTGGAAGTCCTAGCCAGAGCAATAACACAAGAGAAAGACATACAAGGAATCCAAATAGGCAAGGAAGAAGTCAAACTATCACTATTTGCAGATGATATGATAATATGCATAGAGAACCCCAAACACTCCACAGAAAAACAAACAAATCAATCAGTACAGTAAAGTGGCAAGATACAAAATCAATGCACAAAAATCAGTAGCCTTCCTATACACAAACACTAAATCTAAAGAAGAAGAAATCAAGAAAACCATTCCTTTTATTACTGAAACAAAAATAATCAAATACCTGGGAATAAACCTAACAAAAGTAAAGGAAAACTTATACAAGGAAAACTATAGGGCCTCCCCAGTGGCACAGCGGTTGAAGCTGTTGGGTTGCGAAGCTGCCCACAGCTGCTGCAGCGCCGGTTCGATCCCCAGCTGCTCCCCGGCCACTGGAGGAGGGTCCAGGATGGCGCGCAGACCTCTCCTGCCGCCCGCTGCTCCCCTCAGCAGTGTACTTGGGTCCTTCTGCCTGCTCTGCTCCCCGCTCTGGCTCTGGTGAATTCTCTCACCCTCCACACTTCTGACTGTACCCAGTGCTTGTATAAATAAATAAATAAATAAATAAATAATAAAATAAAATAAAAAATGTGCATTATAAAAAAAAAAAAGAGAAAACTACAAAACAATGTTAAAATAAACAGAAGTAGACACAAAGACACAGAAAGACATCCCCTGCTCATGGATCGGAAGTATTAACATTATCAAAATGGCTTTCCTACCAAAAGCAATCTACAGATTCAATGCTATTCTAATTGAAATTTCAATGTCATTCTTCAAAGAAATAGAAAAAATATTGATGAAATTCATATGGAGCCACCAAAAACCCCAAATAGCCAAAACCCTCCTGAAAAACAAAAAAGGGAATAGAGGCTTCACTCGCCCAGATTTCAAACTATACTACAAAGCCATAATCATCAAAACTGCATGGTATTGGAACAAGAACAGACACATGGACCAATGAAACCGAATAGAAAATCCAGAAATAAACCCACAGATTTATGGTCAACTAATCTTTGACAAAGGAGCAAAGAATATGCACTGGAGCAAAGAAATTTTGTTCAATATATGGTGCTGGGAAAACTGGGTCGCTACATGCAAAAGAATGAAACTTGACTACAACCTCACACCATGCACAAATACCAACTCAAAATGGATTAAAGAACTAGACATAAGACCTGAAACCATAAAATATACAGAAGGAAACATAAGTGAAACACTACATGTCATGCACCTCAAAGACATCTTTACAGACACATTGCCCAAAGCATGATAGTGAAGGCAAAGATAAACAGCTGGGACTACATCAAATTAGAGCTTCTGCACAGCAAAAGAGACAATAACAAAAACAAAGAGAAACCCCACTGAATGGGAGAAAATTTTTGCACACAACATTAATGATAAAGGACTGATCACAAAAATCTATAAAGAGCTGACAAGACTCAACAAAAACAAAGAAAATAATCCAGTCAAAAAATGGGCAGAAGAGCTAAAAAGAAACTTCTCCGAAGAGGAAAGGCAAATGGCCAACAGGCATATGAAAAAATGTTCAACACCACTTGCAATCAGGGAAATGCAAATCAAAACTATAATGAGATACCACCTCACACCAGTGAGAATGGCACATATTAAAAAAAAACTAGCAACAACAAATGTTGGGGAGGATGTGGAGAAAAAGGAACTCTCCTGCACTGCTGGTGGGAGTGAAAACTGGTCCAACCACAATGGAAAGCTATGTGGAGATTCCTCAACCTACTAAAGATAGAGCTTCCATATGATCCAGCAATTCCACTCCTAGGTATTTACCCAAAGGACACAGAAACATTGATTCTAAAGAGCACCTGCACCCCTATGTTTATAGCAGCACAGTTTACAACAGCTAAGCTTTGGAAACAAACCAAATGCCCAAAAATAGATGACTGGATAAAGAAGATGTGGTACATATACACAATAGAATATTACTCAGCATTCAAAAAAGATAAACACATGCAATCTGCAGCAACATGCATGGAGCTGGAAGGGATCATGCTCAGCGAAATAAGCCAGAAAGAAAAAGAAAAATACTGGATGGTCTCACTCATAGCAGGAATCTAGAAAACCTAAATAAGGGACCAGGAAAAAGAATAATTATAAGAAAGAAAAAATCAAAATCAACAAACAACTATGAACCAGAGACACACTATGGGGGATGAGGGTGGGGAAAGGAGGGATTGGGGTCAAAATAAGGGCATTGCAATTGTATGGGGAATATAAAAATAATTTTAAAAAAAAATCTTCAAAAAGATTTGTAAATGAAACTACTGTTTTCTCCAAATCATAACAGTTAAGAAATCTGAATTAAATTTAAAATCATAGTCTGCAATTCCATCAGAAGACTGTTATTTAAAAAAGTATAATTATTTTTCAGTACTTTATACTTACATTCTAAATATAAGAATTACTAAATATAGGTATTACTTGTTTTTTCTTTTAGCTCTTAATAACCCAGTGAGGAATACATTCTTATGCCCATTTTCCAGATGCAGATTGAAATTGAAGAGTAGTTACTTTGCTTTCCCAAAACCATTGCCTGGGGACAGACAAGAACCCTAAAGTCTAAAGCCCTTATCTTCCTGCCCACCCACCCACACAGTGTAAATAGAATGTGGCAGCAGAGCCAGCAGCTTCCTGATGTCCACACCTCTACTTTTTAACAAACAAAACCCCTTTTTACACGAGTTAAAATCTTTAACTTCACTTAATTCTCTTAAGTGGAGGTGATCCTATATAACAGGTTCTGGCCAAATGCAGAGGTCTTAGGGTGGGCAATTCTTCCCAGAGGAAACAGCCACTTGAAGAAACTCCTCAGAGCCTATGTTCATCCCAAGAATTGGGCCTGGAGAAATTAGTTTCTTCCTCCTGACTACAAGAGTAAATCCTGCACTAAGGCTGCAGAACTCAAGTCTGGGCTCTTGGACTTCTTGTTGCAGGAGACAAATTCAACCCCATTTGTTCAAACACTCTAGTGTTTCCTACTACATGAAACTGAAGGTCTTCCCTAGGTAATTCACCAAGAATAATATCAATGCCTAAAATAGTACAGTCCTTACGTCATAAGTCACAATTTTACTTCACAAGTCAGATTTTTTTTAATACCCTGGATTTATAAACCCAAGCTAACCTACTGGGTTCTGTTTATAATAGGGAGTTGTGAAAGAACACATAAAAAATATTACTTATAGGAGGTAGGAAAAGTGGTGTAGACAGTGATGAGATGGATTTCTATATCTCAAGTCTAAAAATATGTAATATATTTATTATACTTTTACATTGTCTTGATACTTTTTACAATGACTTATCTCTGTAAACTATGTAAATAACATACAAACAAATAAATCAAAGAAAAATATAATAGTCATATATTTTCTAACAAGAATCAACAAAAAATTACCTTTCTTGGGTTTAGGGGATAATTCAAGGTGCTTTCCTGTAGCAGTCTTCCTTTTAGTTATTAATGACTGCAAGCAGAAAATAATAATTATTAAGAAGATTATGATGGTGATACAGTAATTTATGTGACAGGGCTAAAATCAATTATTTCATAAAATATTAAAAACTGGGCCTCCCTGGTGGCACAGGTGGTTGAGCGCGGCGCTGTGAAGCTGTCCACAGCCTCTGCAGGCAGGTTCAATCCCAGCTGGCCAGCTGGGGAGAAACCTACATGGCGCAGCAGACCTCTCCTGTCTCTCCCGCTGCTCCCCTCAGCAGTGTAATTCAATCTGTCTGCCTGTTCTGCTCCCTGCTCTGTCTCTGGTGAATCCTCTCTACCCCCCGCCCCGTACCTCTGGCTCATACCCCAGTTCCCCAGTTCTTATATGTATAAATCAATAAATCTCAAAAAAAATTAAGTATATATCATTGCTAAAAGATTATACAAGCATTTCATAAACATACTTCTTGTTAAGAGTTGGATGCACAATGGTTTTGTGAGTTGCCAAATCCTGATTAAAGGTATATAAGTGTTGGGGCCTCCCCGGTGGCGCAGCGGTTGAGCGCTGGGTTGCGAAGCTGCCCGCAGCCTCTGCAGCGCCGGTTCAATCCCCGGCTGCTCCCCGGCCACCGGAGGAGGGTCCCACATGGCGCGCAGACCTCTCCTGCCGCCCGCTGCTCCCCTCAGCAGTGTACTTCAGTCCTTCTGCCTGCTCTGCTCCCCGCTCTGGCTCTGGTGAATTCTCTCACCCTCCCACGCTTCTGACTGTACCCAGTGCATGTATAAACAAAACAAACAAACAAATAATAAATAAATAAAACATGATGCCTCTATAAAAAAAAAAAAAAAGGTATATAAGTGTAAGGGAAAAAAGTAATTTACCAATTAAAATGAACTGTAAGAAAATAAGAAAGGGAATTTCAAAGAAATAGTTACAATGGCCTGCACACTCAGGAATCGAGAATTTATCCTTCAGTATTCAGGGAAAACAATATTACAACTACTTTACCTGACTCATATAAGTGTCCTGAAATCCTTCTCCACACCTGAGCCATGCCTCAGAGAGGGAAGCAGCTGCCCCCACTGTCCTAAGACCTGTTCTTCTGAACTGAAGTGGACTCTCTCCTGGAAAGTATATGTGTTCTGTATTCCAATTTTTTTTCCTCTGTAGAGATAGGATTGAAGACAAAAAAAAAAAAAAAATCAGCTCCATTAAATAAACATTAGGCTGATGCTTAACAATATAGAAACCCCAAAATGGCAGTGGTGAAGACATAGCTTTTAAATGTCTGAATCCCCATTTAAAGAAAGAAAGCAAAGCCAGTAGCACTTAACACTATTCACCAAACTCCAAAATGCAAGTGGAGAGAGCACAAAACCATCCCTTCAAATTCCTTCATGGAATTCCATCTGAAAGGAAAGATGCTGAGAAGCCAGAGAGCACAGAGAACCTAGGCACAAAGAGACTCTTCTATTTACTAGAAGTGTAGCAGGTGATGTGAAACTGGTGCCTAAAAAGGGGTGAGGACAAAATAGTACTATTTTCACAAACTACCAGAAAACAACATAAGTTATAAAAGCTATCTTTAACACAGCCTTATTCTAAAAATAGGCTACTGAAAAGGATCGAAATCAAATGCCATACAAAATTCTTATCAGGAAACAACAAAAAGGAACAGAATAACATCCCAACACATAAGTCCACCAAACACATAAACATAAAACTGTAACCTCCTATTTCAAAGCAAGACAAAACATTCATATTACAAAACTCAGAACTTAAGTGATACAACGTAAGTAGGATAAAATTTAAACAGGACTACTCAAGAAGTAATAAGGTGGAAAATACCACCAATGAATAAAAAATAAGAGGATTCAAGAGACATAGAGCGATCATGTCTCTGTCTCTAGATCTACTACACAGATAATACAAATCCTTGAAAAAGAAAGTCAAGCACTGGGACAGAAAATCTACAACTTCAGAATGCCTTCCTCAAATTAGAAAAAAAAAAAAAAAAAGGAAAAGCCCAATTTAAGCACATCACATACTTGAGAGTATCAACCTAGAAGCAATCAAAACCAAGACATAGCCTCATTTAACAGATTTTCTAAAAAATCCTTCGAGCATCTAGAAAAAGAAGACAAACGACCTATAAGTGAAAAAGAATTACTTTACATCACATGTTAATGGCAATGCTTTAAGACAGAACAAAGTGAAATAACATACTTAAATATTCAAACAAAGAAAATGAGCCCGGGAGTTTACAATAACAATTAGTTTTCTCCAAGTTTTTTTTTTTTTTTTAATGTCCATAACAGACATGCATTCATTTCATAAGTTTTTAAACCTGCATTTTATTTTAAGGTAAATTTTAGATTTGCATTGGGAATCGAATTAAAGTGAAGTACTATAAGTTATCATGTAACCAGAAATAACATCTCTCAACCTTGCTTAAGCCTGCCTTGAGCCCACAGTTCTCTATGTAACCAGCATCCAGCAAGAGGTTGTGTACCACTAAGGCAGGTATTCAAACTTTAACTAGGACTGCTGCTTTAGGTATTGCTCTGACTCTACTGTTTATTCAAATCAAACAATTGCTGCAACACTTTCAAGTAACTACTGAAAGTACACTGTCTTTCCCAAGTCCAACTACCATTAATATTGATACAGGGCAGCAAGGGGCACTAAAACTGGCCAAGGACACTGTCCAAATAGTTCACAGGTCACTGTCTGAGTCCTTCACCTGTGCACACAATGGCAAGACTACTCAGGCCCAGAAAACAACAATGGGATTTATTTAACAAACTAGGGATAAACAAAGAGTTACTGAGGCCAAAAAGGGCCCTCTACCTCACCTGAAGCAGTATTCAGTGTTTTCAATTCTAAACAAAAAGCAGCTAAGGTGGCGTCTTCCCCGCACAGCTCCTCTCCCAAACAATAGGCCATATGCCCAAGATGGCATCTTTCTGCCACTGTCAACCTGAAGCATATGGCTGCCAAACTATAAGCCAGGTTCCAACTCAGGAAGACAACAGAAGATAAGCTGTCTGATGCCCCTGCACAGCACCAGACACACAACACTCAAAACAGTAGCTGCAGCAGTCCAATGCCTCGACAAACAGCCACACTCACGGCTCAGCAAGGTATCCAGCTCTGGGTCTTCACTTTCTCTTTCAGGCTATAATGGCCGGAAAACCGGGAATAGTTTCAGTAGCTCTGTTATAGAAATTCTGGCCTGTTACCCGGGAAGAGGAAGAACAAGTGGTACTTCAAGAATGGTGAGGTGTAGTGGCAGGAAGGCATAGATCAGATTCTCTATGATCCAGGCAGATGGGTAAAGGAGAGTCCTGGAGCCTTTGGTGGCTTTTCAGGCTTTTATTGAGCTTTTACCAGGTACAAGGCAGGCAGGGGAGGGAAAGGGGGCAAGAGGCTGGCAGGCATTCCAGCCCCCGGCGAATCTTCACTCTTTCTGGGCTCTCTGGCATTCTCTTGTGGTCTCTCCTTCTCTGCTGGTTGTACTCTCATTCTGTTGTTGCTCTTCTGGCATCCCTGTGATGCCACCCTTATAAGCCCAGTCTCAGCCCAGGTGTGCCCACCTATGCATGCCCACACCCTACTCCAAGTGCCTGCCATCAGGCATGCATGTAGGACCACAGGAACCCATCATTAACACTAATGGCAGGAGGGCAGAAAAGCCTGATAATTTTTACTTACCCTACATGAGGTCAGGGAAATAAAGACCCATGCATGAGGGCTGAGCACCTCTTTAAAGACAAAGGGTTTCTTTTATACATACATAACCGTCTTCACATTTGTTACATTGATAATTGGCAAAACCTTGGTGGAGAGAAAAGGTGAGCAAAGTGGATTCAAGGGGAGTCTTGGACAGTGGGAGGGAATGCAGTCCTCTGGAGATTATCCCAAAGAGACAGGACTGCTTGACTGGTTATTTGACTCTAAAATGCAACTTTGTTTAGATAGGAGTACAGGAGACCCCTCCAATGAATCTTTAAAGGGAAAGAGTTGTAAGCAAACTTGTTAATTACAGCTGCATTGGAATGTTTATTGCACCTGGGCTGGAAGTTCTGCTGGGATCTTTATTACATTCATTTGCTCAATAATATATTTTCTCATCAGCTTGGCTAATTGCAAAACCTCCAAACTTTTCCTCTCTGTCGTCGGCTGCTGAAGTCTCTCCACGTTCAACAGCCTTATGGAAGATCAGCATTGTGGAGACCAAAATCACTAACCCCAGAAACACTGAATCCCAAACACTGAATCCTCAAACGCTGAATCCTGACCACCGAATAATCTGCAGCTGCTTCTGCAGCCCCTTGAATATCTTATCAGTTCCTCCACCCCAAAATTAGACACCTTTTAGCATTTTCCCTGGGGTTACCTATCCTCACCAGCAACCCTGTAGCCGCAGGATGGCGCAGGGCAGGTTTTCTATGACCTAGCAGATGGGTGAAAGAGCCCTCCTGGAGCCCTCAGTGGCTTTTGCAGGCTTTCATCAGAATTTACCAGGCACGGCAGGCAGGGGTGCCAGGGGCCAGGTGGCTGGTAGGCATCCTAGCCCCTGGCGAATCTTCACTCTTTACTGGGCTCTCTCACCTGTTCTCTCATGGCCTCTGTCTCTCTGCTGGTTCTGTTCTCTCACTTATTCTCCTTACGGTCTCTCTTTCGCTCTGCTGGCGCCCCCGTGACACCGCCCTTATAAGCCCAGTCTCTCAGGCCAGGTGTACCCACCTATGCATGCTCACATCCTACTTCAGGTGTCTGCCATCAGGCATGCATTCAGGACTGCAGGGATCCATCATCAATCCTAATGATGAGAGGGCAGAAAAGCCTCACAATTATTTATCCTACAAACCCCCTCCTGCAGGTACCACCTGTAACCGTCTTTGGCTTCAGCCACCAGCTACAATGTCACCACAGTAAACGACAGTGCTCTGCAATCAATAGCCAAGACTGTGTGATCTCATCCTCCCTTCTACAGTTCTATTGTTAAAAGAGACAGGGGCCAAAAACATCTATACCTCCCTGTAGGGGCAAGATGGTATAAGGGCCGGACTGGCCACAGTGCAGGTTTTCTGATCCCATGCAGACAGGGTAAAGGAGGAGTCAGAGTCCTCAGTAGTTTTGCAGGTTTTTTTATTACCCAATTATTCACTCTATCTGGACTCTCTGGAGTTCGTTCTGCTGCTTCTCAGCTTTGGCTTCGGCTTCTACTGCTGCTGCTGCTGCTGGCGTCCCCGTGACGCCGCCCTTAAAAAAAGCACAGTCTTAGCTCAGCTGAATCCCATCTACCTATGCCCACACCCTATTCCAGGTGCCCGCCATCAGGCATGCATTCAGGACAAGGATCCATCATCTATCCTGATGGCGGAAGGCCAGAAAAGCCTGATATTTTCTCTACCCTACAGATGGGTACAGTGCAAGGGTCTCTATGTTTCTAGCAGACAGTGTAAAGGAGGAGTCCTGGAGCCCTCAGTGGCTTTTTCAAGCTTTTATTGGGATTTTACCAGGTATATGATAGGCAAGGGTGCTCAGGGGCCAGGAGGCTGGCAGGCCTCCCAGCCCCCAGCAATCTTCACTCTTTCTGGGCTTTCTGATGTTCTCATTCTCACTCCCTTCTGCTACTCTTTCTCTCTGCTGGTTCTCTTCCTGGTCGTTTCTCTGCTGGTTCCGTTCCATTCTCTCACTTGTTCTCCTTCCTCTGGTGGTTCCGTTTCGCTGATGCTGCCCTTTTAAGACAGTCTCAGTCCAGGTGTACCCACCTATGCATGCCCACACCCTACTCCAGGTGCCCACCATCAGGCATGCATTCAGGACTGCAGGGATCCATCATCAATCCTAATGGAGGGAGGGCAGAAAAGCCTGACATTTACCCTATAATACTTAATGCCCTATTCCTATTCAACAGGAGTGCCAGATTCATTTACCTAAACTGATTCCAAAGAGTAGGAATACACTGACCTCAATTAATTTCAAAATGCTTTATATTAATGTATATGTCAAATACTTTTTACAATTTAAAAAATTATCTGGTTGGAGGTATAACTAACAAATTGAAATAATATGGCAAAAACTAAATATTGGTAAGTGAAGACTAGAATCTAAATGCATTAAATTCAGAAAAAAAATTTACATTTTTTAAAAATACCTCTTTTTAAGCTATGAATCAGAATAGGCATTTAGAACACTTCCTGTTATCAGTCAATACTTTCAGATAATTAGAACCTGGAAATAAACCCAAAGTAGACTTGATTCTGAAAAGATTTGTGTCTCAATGCACAGAAACCTTTGTCAAAAGACACTCTGTAGAATAAGTAAAAGGTATCAGGCTTTTCCACCATCCCACCATTAGATTAAATGCATGCCTGATGGTGGACACCTGGAGTAAGGTGTGGGCATGAATAGGTGGGCGCACCTGAGCCAAGAGATTGGGCATATAAGGCCAGGGCAGCAGAGGATGGCATGGTATGGAGTGGTGCCGTGTGGAGTATGGGAGTACAGTGGAGTGAGGTGGAGTACGGCGGAGTACAGCGGAGAACATGAAAACAGCTAAAAAACCAACACGGCTGCTTGAACCAGTGATGAACTGTAGGGTTAATGAATGTCAGGCTTTTATGACCTCCCGCCATTAGATTAAATGCATGCCTGATGGTGGACACCCGGAGTAGGGTGTGAGCATGCGTTGGTGGGGACACCTGGGCTGAGAGACTGGCCTATAAGGGTGGTGTCACGGGGACGCCCTAAGACCAGTTACTTAAGAAGAACAAGCGGGAGGGCAGAACCAGCAAAGAAGCAGAGGCCACAAGAGAATGCCGGAGAGCCCAGAAAGAGTATAGACTCACCGGGGGCTGGGAGGTCTGCCAGCCTCCCTGCCCCCCAGCACCCCTGCCTGCCATGTACCTGATAAAAGTTCAATAAAAGCCTGAAAAGCCATCAAGGGCTCCAGGAATCTCCTTTACCCTTCTGCCTGGATCACAGAGATCCTGCTTTGTCCCCTCCTGTCACTACAATTGGTGTAGTCAGCATGATGATTCATTGTAGATGGTCCCTCCAAAGACCTCAGGAGGGACTGAGGAGTAGCAGACAGCGAGCCTGTGACAGTGCTGGAGGTGCCATGGCAGCACAGGTGATGACCAAAGTCCAGGAGCTGAGGGAAAAGCTAAAGGTGCTACAGGAGCACAGGAGGTGGACAAGGTCCAGGAGCTGCTGGATGAGACCTCATGTGGAGAAGACTACCTGAGAGGACCAGGCCACGGCTCCTGAGGCAGCAGAATCATCATACAAGGACCAGGATTCGGAGCTTGCCAAGTGCTAATGCAAGGAAAAACCAATGGACTTGGACTGACAATCCTGCCAGAAGGATTGGCAGGAACTTTGGCAGGTTGATGTTATGTTTTTGGAACCCTGGGGGTGGATGGTATTCTTTGTATAACCCAGGAGATGAAAATCAAGGCATGGCTGGTGGGCCTTGATGGCCAAAAGCGGCCTATGTACTACCCAGCAATCCTAGGGCCATAGCCCAGAGAGGCAAAGATCAGAGGAAGGGGCAGGCATGAGAAGAGCCCACGACTGGCTGAGGGAAGAGCCCTCTCTAAGTTCTCTGCAGCCAGGCAGAGAGGATGTATCAAAAAGCCAACTTAGATAAGGCAAAACCTGGTGCTAAGACTGGGAAGCCCTGGGCAGCTGTTAAGCAGCCTAAGTATGTTAAAGAAGGCCAGTGGGTGATGTCACTGTGCGTTGTTGAGTGAGGGTGAGGAGCTGAGGAACCCATCCTTGGAGGAACGGGTTGGGGAATGTGGCTTGTGGTGGGGCCCACAGCCAAAGAGAGGCTGTATGTGGAGCCTGTATCCATGGACCCCCCCACCCATGTGCATATGCAAAGGGTTGGCCTGAGTGCAGGGGTCTGTGTGTCTCATTGGTGGCTAGAGTGTTGGAATGACTGCAGACAGAAACCCAGAGGGTTGGGCGATTACCCGCAAAGGGTACAGAATCACCAATCGAAGAATGAGTGCATCCTGGGGGTGGATGCGGTGTGTGGCTTGTGGCCGAGACCACAGCCAGAGAAAGCCAGGAAGCATGAGCAGTGCCTTCGGCAGCAGACATAGTGGATCATCTGCTGGTGCCAATAATCATGTCTTTTGCCACTAGGTTGCTACCCTGCCTGCACTTATTTGTGTTCTGTTGTATTGCTGCATTGCTATATTCAGTTGTATTCTATTTGCTTTTGTGGGTCATGGCTTCAGTGTTCATAATTCACCAGGGAAAACTTGTACATAACTTGTATATAGATTGTATGGTGGAAAACCCTGAAGGAGTGGGCTGTAGGATAAGTGAAAAATTATTAGCCATATCCATCTTCCTGCCATTAGCATTAATGATGGATCCCTACATGCATACCTGATGGCAGACACCTGGAGTGGGGTGTGGACATGCATAAGTGGGCACACCTGGGCTGAGACTGGGCTTATAAGACCGGCATCATGGGGATGCTAGTAGAACGAGAAGAAAGAACAAGAAGAATGGAACCAGGAGAAGAGAGCAGAGCAAGAACGAGAGAAAGAATGAGAGACCACGAGAGAACGCCAGAGAGCCCAGAAAGAGTAAAGACTTGCCAGGGGCTGGAAGGCCTGCCAGCATCCCAACCCCCCAGCACCCCGCCTCTCATGTACCTGGTAAAAGCTCAATAAAAGCCTGAAAAGCCACTGAGGGCTCCAGGATTCTCCTTTACCCATTTGCAAAGATAATAGAGATCCTGCTTTGTCCCTTTGTGCCACTACAATTACTGAAAGAAAAAAAAAAAAAACTAAAGGAAGAAATGGAGAGAAATAAAGTGAAATCTCATTATTTGTCCGTCGTACTCAATGTTCTATATAATGTCACTACTAACAGTAAGCTAGTGAATACTAAGCCACTGTTCCTAATAAATACAAGGATTGTATTTCTTCACTCTTTATGAGCCTTTCTGTTAAAAAATGTATAGATTCCTTAATAGAATAGTCAACAGCACCATAAGTTAGCATGCCTAAGTGATGTATTTTCTCTGTAAGGCACATCACAGTTGTCCTTCATGTAAGGATACTACAGAGCACTTCAGCACTTTTTTTTTTGGCTATTTAAAGTAAAATCACCAATATAGAGCATAAAAATTGAGGGCCTCCCTGGTGGCATAAGGGGTTAAGATGCAACCTATGAAGAAATCCGCAGCCACTGCAGCACGAGTTCGATCCCCAGCCAGGGAGCAACCCACATGGCACAGCAGATCTCTCCTGACTCACCCACTGCTTCCCTTAGCAGTGTATTTCAGTCAATCTGCCTGTTCTGTTCCCCACTCTGTCTCTGGTGGATCATCCCACCCCCCACGCCTCTGGCCTGTGCCCCAGTTCTTGTATGCATAAATGAATCAATCTTAAAAAAAAAATAAAGCATAAACAGACCAAGATAAAGATATTTTTTTAGTGTGAGAGCTAAAACAAGAAAGCAAATTGAGGCCTTGCTCAAAACCACTTGAGAACATGCATGTCAGGTGGCTCAAATTTTTCCTATTTCTACACATGCCCAAAAATGACTATAAAAGCACTCAGGAGTAATGTATTGGGGATTACAAATAAAATTTGACAGTGGGTAAATTCATAAATACAGAATCAATGAATAATGAGGATTAACTATATGTTTGACTAAATGTTGACTGTATTGACTAAATGTTCTCAATGGAGAACATTTCAGAAGAAAATAAGTAGTTAAAATGCAAAAAAGATTAAACTCAGCTTTAGCACTTTACTATTCCTATCAGCTCATCTAGGTCACTTTTCCTTATCACCACTCAACTTCTCATTTATTTATGTATATCATGCTTATTTATTTTATTTACTGAGAACCTTTACTCCCAATAACATGCTACTATACTTCTTTGGGCCACTCCCCTTAGAAAGAAGTGAAAATTTCTAAATATTGTTTTGGGTCTCATTTCATAAATATGGAAAACAAACTGGATGTCTAACTAAATGCAAAAGGAAAGCTTTCTTGGTTATCTGATTAATATCTGGTGGTTCAAGTCATATATTTTAAGAATGTCAACACTCTTCCACCCAGGAACTTACCAACATTAATGGGAGCAATAATTCAGTGGCCCTCGAGTCTGAAAAACAATGTAGTTTTAACCAAGTCAGCCCAAATTCAGATATTTCAGATTCAGTTGCTTCACACTTACTTTTCAGCCTTCCTCTTTGCTCCCCCAGCCAATTTAGTCTGCTGCCAAGAGAACCTGCATGTTCCCATAACACATCTGTACTCACAGCACTCTGCAAGAAATTACCTTCCTGCCCTTTGGTCTCTCCAACTCTGTCACACATATGTGCTCATCTCTTCGAGGGAACATCCATCAAAGCCTCCCCTTACATCCCTCCCTCTAGGATCATTCTGTTTCCTGCCTATCCTACTCCTTCCACTAAAAAAGGGCTCCTGAAGGTGGGGAGCCATGTGTCAAATTTATTTCATGCTCTCAGTGCAGAGCATTTCCCACTCACTAGGTACTCATTAAACAACTGGTGAATGAAAATGTCAAGTCCCCTCTGCCCTCACCTTGCCTTGTGTCCTGTTATTTCTTTCCCTCTCCTTTACCTCTTAACCTCAGAACCTTTCAAGGGTGTTTACTAACATCCACTAGTTTTTGAAAGTGTTTTATGTTATTGACTTATCTGCTATGTAAATCTCCAATATTTATCATTCTGGCTTGTTTCGTTGCATATAACTTTTTTCAAATTCCTTCCATTTGGTTGAATATAGCTACATTTCATCCTTTCTTATGTCTGTATATAATATACCATGATGTACATATGCTACATTCTCTTGATCTAGTCACCCCTGGATGGACATTTAGGCTGTTTCCATGGCCTAGCTACTAAAGTAATGCTGCTATGAACATTGTGGAATATGTGGTTTTTGTTGATAGTTTCATAGTCTATGGATATACAGGCAGAGTGGGAATGCTGGGCTGCATGCTATTTCCTTTCTTAGATTTTTAAGAGTGCTTTCCATAATGATTATACCAAATCTCATTCCCACAGTGTAATAGGAATGTTTTTTCTCCACATGCTCTCCAACACTTATTTTGTTTAGGGTCTTTTGTATATATGCCATTTCACAGGCACGAGATGGTATCTCATTGTAGTTTCAACCTGCATCTTTTATTAGAGGTGGGAAGAAACATTTTTTCATATATCTTTTGACCTTCTGGATATCCATTCTGCTGAACCGTCCAGATCTGCGGCCAATTCATTATTAATTGGATTACTTTTTAATAGTTGAATTGTATGAATATAACTGGATATTAATCCCTTATCAGTTATACACTGTATGAATATTTTCTCCCATTCTGTAAGGTATCTATTACTTGTCTTGTCATTTTTTTGCTAGCTTTTTAACTTGAGATAATCCAATTATTTGCATGGGTTTATAATTTTCTAGCTATCAGAGTATAATCACCAGAAATATCTTTATTCTTGATATCATGAGGTGTATCACCAATGTTTTTTTCTATGTATTTTGTTGTTATAGGTTTTATATCTATATGTTTAACCCATGTGGAGTTCTCTCTGTATGGCATTAGTGAGTAATCCAACTTCATTCTTAAATGTGTAGCTTTCCAATTTTCCTAGCACCATTTATTGAAACAACTGCTCTTTCCCCATTTGATGATCATGGATGCTTTATCATAATTTAGTGCTGGAAGATATGCAGATTTCTGGACTTTAGATTCTGTCACATTGGTCCATGTATTTATTTGTGTGCCAATACCTTACTGTTTTAATATTTTTTATAGTAAAGTTTGAAATCAAGTAACAGAATGCCTCTATTTCTCTCCTTTATTGTAAGGGTTGCTTTTCTAATTCCAGTCCTTCTGTGGTCCATATGAATTTCATAATATTTGTTCAGTTTTATTAAAAATTTGCTGGTATTTTGATGGGAATTGCATTATACTTGTATATTATTTTAGGTAGAGTAGCCATTTTGACTATATTGATTGTCCCCATCCCTGAGCATTGGATATCTTTCCATCTCCTTATGTTGCTAAGTCTTTTAATAACATCTAACAGATCTGTATAGATATTTTACCTCCTTTGTTAGGTTGATTCTATTTCTTTCTGAAGCAATTACAAGTGGATTTCTTAAATTTCTTTTGCTCTTGTTCATTTTACTTAAGAGGGCTATGGATGTTTGTATGTTAATTTTGTAACATGCCACTTTGTTGGGTTCATGTGTTATTTCCAGCAAATTTTTTCTGTAGTTCTTAGGAGCTTTTAGACAACAAATCATCTGCAAGTGGTATTAGTTTCACTTCTTCTTTTCCCACTTAATTTTCTTTATTTCCTGTGTTTGTCTGATAGCTCTAACCAATCATCTTACAAGTTTAAGAGAAGTAATGACAGTGGGCATCCTTGTCTTCCCAGATCTTATGAGGAAAGCTTTTGGGTTTTCACCACTTAGAATTATATCAGCTGTTGGTTTGTGATATATACATAGCCTTTAGTATACTGAATTAGGTTATTTCTACCTTCATCTTTTATAGAGATTTTGTCAAAAAAAGGCGCTGAATTTTCAAACTGTTTCCTCTGCATTTGATATCATGATTTTTATTGCTGCTTTTCATGCTATGATCTATTACATTCATTTCTTTATGTATATTAAACCATCCTAGCATCCCTGGGATAAGTAACACTTCATCATGATGGCTACACTGTTGATCATGGGCATACAATCCTTGTGGTATAGTGTTGTAATTAATTTGCTTATATTTTACTGATTTTTTTTTTTTGCATCAATGTCTATCAGGGATATTGGTCTGCAATTGTCTTTTTAAGATACACAGAAAGAAACAAGAAGCAAACTATATGGTATGAAATCCAGATACTGACCCAAAGAGAAAAAGTCAATAAATCAACTGTCTTAAACATACTCAAAGAGCTACAGGAAACCTGAGCAAAAGAACTACAGAAAACTTGGAAGAGGAAATATCAACATTAAAATAATTAATAATATCAATAGACAGGTATTATAAAAATGAACCAAACAGAAATTCTAAAGGTGAAAAGCATAATACCTGTAACAAAGTATTCACTGGAGATGGCAGATCTGAAGAAAGAAAAAAGGATCAGTGAACCTGAGAATAGGGCAACTAAGATTACCTAGTTCAAAAGAGCAGAATGTGTGGGCCTCCCCGGTGGCGCAGCGGTTGAGCGCTGGGTTGCGAAGCTGCCCGCGGCCTCTGCGGCGCTGGTTCGATCCCCGGCTGCTCCCCGGCCACCGGAGGAGGGTCCCACATGGCGCGCAGACCTCTCCTGCCGCCCCGCTGCTCCCCTCAGCAGTGTACTTCGGTCCTTCTGCCTGCTCTGCTCCCAGCTCTGGCTCTGGTGAATTCTCTCACCCTCCCGCGCTTCTGACTGTACCCAGTGCATGTATAAACAAAACAAACAAACAAACAAATAAATAAATAAAACATGCCTCTATTAAAAAAAAAAAAAGAGCAGAATGTGAAAATAATTGGAAAAAAAAATGACAGAATGTAAAAAAGACTTGTAAAATATGATGAAACTTACTAATATATAAGGTACACCTCAAAAAAATTTTGGATTCAGTTCCAGACTACTACAATAAAGCAAATGTCACAATACAGCAATTCACAAAATTTTTCACTTTCCAGTATATATAAATGTTGCTTATGCCATAATATAGTCTATTAAGTGTGCAATAGCATTATTTCTGAAAAACCAATGTCCATTAACTTAAAGAATACTTTCTTGCTAAAAAAAAAAAAAAAAAAGCTACTCATGTGTTGGAAAAATGACAATACTGTTAGTACTGTCTTACTCAATGTAGATAGGGTTACCACAGACCTTCAATTTGTAAAACATATAGTAACTAAGCACAATAAAGCAAATCACAGAAACATGAGCCATGCCTGTAGTAAGAGGATTATACACCATGACCAAGAGAAATTTATTTCAAACACAGGTGATGCATTATATCAAAAATCAAGCAATAAAACTGCAAATCACATTAATAGAACCAAGTGAGTGAATACTATAATCTTCACAAATGCAAAGAAACTATTTGACAAGATCCAATACCCTTTTGTGATAAAAATACATACTAACTAGGAATACCAATGAACTTCCTTAACATGAAAAAGGGCACTTAGGAAAAAATCTCACAGCTAACATCATACTTCTTGATGAAAAACTAAGTTTTCCTCCTAAGATTAGGAATAAAACATGGGTAGCTGCTTCTACTGAACATTGTACTAAAAGTTCTATCCAGAACAACTAGGCAATAAAAAGAAACAGAAGGCATTTATATTCAAAAAGAACATATACAATTATCTCTTTTTATGGATGACAAATATATAGAAAACTGTCGTGAACATACAAAAAAATACTACTAGAGCTATTAGATTCAGCAAATTTATAGTATAAAAGACAAACATATAAAATCACTTCTACACGCTACCAATGAGTAATTCAAAAAGAAAATTAAAGCAATTCCATTTACAGTAGCATCAAAAAGAGTAAAATACTTAGGAATAACTTTAACCACAACAGTGAAAGAGTTACATAGAAACTAAAAAACACTGCTGAGAGAAATTAAAGAATGGAATAAAATTTAAAACCTATGCAATTAAAGAATACTATGAAGAAAGTGCATACTAATGAGAAATATCTATGAATTACATATCCAATAAGTTTAGTATTACAAATGTGTTAGTAATTCCTACAACTCAACAACGCATTTTTAAAAATGGGTAGGGGCCTCCCTGGTGACTGAGGGGTTAACTCTCAGCGCTACCACTGCAATAGCCCAGTCCCATGGCCAGAGTTGGATTCCCCCCGCAGCAGACTTCTTCTGTCTTACCAGCTGCTTTCCTGACCTGTGTATTTCAGTAGATCTGCCTGTTCTGCTGCCCACTCTGTCTCTTGTGAATCCTATTACCTCCCACACTTCTGGCCTAACCCCCCACAGTTGTTCTATGCAAAAATAAAATCTTTTCTAAAAATGGTTAAAAGACTGATAAAAATTCTCTAAAAAGGGCATACAAATGACCAACAATCATATGAAAAGATGTTCAACATCATTAACCAATTAAAGAGACACAAATCAAAACCACAATGGAAGTAATCAATTTACACCCACTGCCATGGCTTATATACACAAAGGGGGGGGGGCAGACAAGAACTAGTTGGCAAATATATGGAATAATGAAGCTCTGTGACTGCTTCTGAAAGTATGAAGTGATGCAGTTACTGAGGAAAAAAGTATTTTCTTAAAAAAAATTAAACAGACTTACCATAGGATCCAGCATTTTTACTTCTGAGCAATTCTACTTCTACCCAAAAAAACTAAAACCAGGAACTCAAACCAATGTTTATAACAGCAATATTCACAATAACCAAAAGGTGGAAAACCCACATGTCCATTGACAGGTGAATAGATAAAATATGGTATATATGTATATAAAATGGCATATCATTCAGCCTTAAAAGATAATGAAGTTCTGAAACATTATTGGTTCACAACCTCAGGAATTCTTTGGGTGAATTCAAAACTGACTTCATACCTGGAGAGCAGGAAAGACAAAAGAAGAAGGCAGGTAACTCTAGATTGGTAGGTGCTGGTTTGAACAAGCAAGAGAAATTATATATGAGATATGATGTTTGTCTTGGGCAGCCACGAGATAAGTAGATGTCCGCACTCACGTCCCAGAATCTTAAGAGTTATACAGAGACATTAATAGGGTTCAATTACATTATGGGAAAACCAATAAAGCTTTTAAAATTTACTCAGTTGAACTTCGTTTTTTAACAAAACAAAAGGCTACACATGAATAAACACAGCAGTTCACAACAGCCAAAAAGCGGAAACTGACAATCCCACTTGACAGATAAAATATAGTTTATAGTTTTTTAAATAAGAATGTGTTTTCATAAATATTTGGTGTTCATTCATGATTCCTATCTCACAGCTCCCAAAAACCTTGGAATTTCCTGAGAGATAAGAGCAATGGGAACAGCTTTTCAGAGGCATAAAAGTAAAAGAATATCTTATTCATCATAACAGGTCCCTTTTCACCACAACTGGGTTTATGTGGATGAAGTAACTATAAAAAGGCATCAACAGATGGAGGTTAGTTGCCAGGGGGAACTAACCATGATTAGAGGGTTGGAACTTTCAGTTCCACCTCAACTTCTGGGAGAGACACAGAGGTTGAATCAATCACCAATAGTCAATGATTTATTCAACAGAGTCTGCATGATGAAGCCTCCATAAAAACCCAAAAGGAATGGACATGAAGAGATTCCAGTCTAGAGAAACAGAATATTCCATGTGCTACCATGCTGGGCCCCAAATTCCAAGAGGACAAAAACTTCTTTGGGACCTCACAAAACATATATGTATGTATGTATGTATGTATGTATGTATGTATGTATGTGTGTGTGTGTATGGGGGGGTGTATATACATACACATATATCTTTTTATTTAAAGATTTATTTATTTATTTATAGAAGCACTGGGTACACTCAGAAGCGCGGGAGGGTGAGAGAATTCACCAGAGCCAGAGCGGAGAGCAGAACAGGCAGACTGACGAAGTGCACTGCTGAGGGGAGTAGCGGGGCCAGGAGAGGTCTGCGCGCCATGTGGGACCCTCACCCAGCAGCCGGGGATTGAACCGGCGCTGCAGAGGCTGCAGGCAGCTTTGCAACCCAGTGCTCAACTGCTGCGCCACCGGGGAGGCCCCATACATTTATCTTTATCTGGCTGTCAATTCATATCTATTGATACCTTTTGTAATAAATCAGTATTCCAGTGAGTAAACAAGTTTCCTGAGTTCTGTAGCCACACTAGTAAATTAATCAAACCCAAGGATGAGAACATGAGAACCTCTGATTTATAACATAAGTCAGAAGCTTGCAATTTGTATCTAAAATGGAGGGCAGCCTTTAACATATAGAATCTGACGCTATCTTTGAAGAGAAAAATGTCAAAATAGAGTTGATTTGTATACCAACTGGTGGCACAAAATTGAACATATGGGAATTGTGTGTCAGAATCTTTAAAGGATATATACATACACAAATACAATGGATAAAAAAAAGTACTGATGCATGATATAATATAAATGAGCAGGAATGCATCTTGAAAATCTATGTTAATCCAGACACAAAGGGGTACAGACTGTATGATTCCATTACATAAAATTTCAAGAACAGATAAATATGGAAAGACAGAACACTGGTAAGTGGTTGCCAGTGACTGGGGAAAGATGGGAAGCGTCTACTTAAAATTAAGGAGTTTCTTTTTAGGGTGATGATAATGTTTTAGAACGAAACAGAGGAAATGGTTCCAGAACACTGTAAATGCACTAAATGCCGCTAAATTGTATACTTCAAAATGATTAATTTTGTATAGATATAGTTTACCTCCATTTGAAAAAAGAATGAGATTTGCTTTTTTTTTTAAAGATTTATTTATTTACTCAAACAAGCACTAGGTACAGTCAGCAGCACAGGAGGGTGAGGGAATTCACCAAAGCCAGAGCGGGGAACAGAATAGGCAGAGGGACTAAAGTACACTGCTGAGGGGAGCAACGGGCGGCAGGAGAGGTCTGCGCACCATGTGGGACCCTTGCCAGTGGCCGGGGATCGAACCAGTGCTGCAGAGGCTGTGGGCAGCTTCGCAGTCCAGCACTCAACCGCTGTGCCACCAGGGGAGGTCCTGAGATTTGATATTAATTGAAGGAATGTAAAAACTGGAAGAATGTGATAGACATTTGAAAGGGAAAACTGGCCCACAATTTTCACAGCATATGTTTCTATTCAGGATCAATATATAATTCCTTTCTCAATGAAACTGGAGATAATGTACAATAAAATTATTCTCCTAAACTAATATGCTCAATTATTGATTCAGGTGATTTATAATCACCAGAATTCAAATGAAGCCTTAATAATCCATCTCTCATTCCCCCCCACCATTATTAAGCTACTTGTTCATAAGCTATCTCTGTTCCTTTCAATGAGCCCTATCCTGTTTGACACCCATGATCTCAATGGTTCTTTATTCTTGTCCTTTTACTGGA